TCGTCTCTGCCTAAACCCAGACCAGTCGAGGATTCTCGTCTCGTCTTACGAATGTTAAACGGTGTCCAAATCATAGGGAGGGCAGAGAGAGAGACAGACAGACATTGAACAACGGGACAAAGGAGCAGGCGTGAAGAGAAAGAATCGGGAGAACAAGAAGAAGGAGGAGGAGGAGGAGAAGAAGAGTGCGTGTGGATTATTGTCGGTCGGCGGAATGTTCGTCTTGTGCTGCTCCCACGCCCCCGTTTCGTCCAACGGGGTTTGAACTCGGAGCCGAGGGTTCAAGGACGATCCCGATGCGCGCCAAGAAAGAGTTCTCCAAGTAAATGAGGAAAACATGCTGGGTTCACACCTGTGATGCTGTGCTGCTGCTGCTGCTCGTCCAGAACCTTATTGCGGTACTTTGCTGTGCGCTATCTAGATTCCGGAACACATACTGAGCAATACACAGTACTAAATATACGTTAATTTACTTGATCAATGAACACACACTCTGGTCATGTGAGCATTCAGCAATACAACCGTACGCGGTAATTCGCTCAGAACATCCATGGTGCGACGGGCTCTTGACGTAGAACTTACTGACCCCTCAGCACGATGTTGTATTGTATTTAGATGATCGTCGTCGAATCGAATAATGATGACAGTGTCATGTCCGCTAATCCGCAGGCATTTTAGCTTCCACACAGCATGGAACGTTTTCCGCTTTCTCTGAAGCTTATGGAGGTTTGTTCTTTCGAACGCCTGGAACAAAAGGGGGGCGGATGATGATGAACCCATTGGTTAAAGTACAGGAAACTCATCATTTCTGACTCGCGAAAGGAAACAAGAGCGTGTGTAGCCAAGATGAAAGCTAAGAGGAATAATAATCAGCGTGGATGGTCGAGGATGAGGTTGCTTGCTGCAGTGGGCGTCTTATTCTCTCCTCATCGCTACTACAGTATATAGACGCCATAAAGAAGAAGCGGCTCGTCCGTTTAGCTTATTCAGGCGGCGCTGTCGATGCGGAGGCGGTGGATGGTAGAAGAGTACCAAATGGGTGACTTTATAAAGAAAGCTTCATCATCGAAAACCAAGACTCGAATACTGTACTGTGCACGAGATGGCGACAAGCCAAGGAAGCACATGACATCCGATTCCGCGTGTGGGTGGGTGTGAATCGGGCATCGGAAGCGCCGCTTTCGGTCCCGTTCCCGGCCGGTGGCTGGTTCACTCACTCCACTACTGCTGTACCACCGTATGCAACTCTGTAACAATGCTGTATACAGTACTGTATTGCTGTACCTGATTCCGTCTCGCGCCGTGTTTCTCGTCGGGGTGAGTCACAAAGATTCAAGCAACCAATATGACAGATCCACCGATCGAGTGCTGCTTATTCTGCACATGGCGTGATGAGTCTGTCTTTTGCCTGCTGCGTCGCGTTTCCCGCTTGGCAAATCCTTCGCGTTTCACAATACGATACTGTACGGTACTTTACCGGACTCCCGAGTTGAACTGGGACGAGCATCTCTGGTGGACGACCTTCGCAGCGCGACTCGCGTATTGGTCGAGAGCCAAACAGACCACGCCGCGCCGGCCGACTCGCTGTTGCAGTATTTTAGGACACCATTCTTCAATGACGATTTCGCAAAAGGGAAGGGGGCATAACGCGCAGGTTGCCAATGGGAAAAACACTGTTGTCCGGATTGAAACTACTGTGAAATTCTCTTTTAGCGAATTGTTGCCACGTCCCACCAGTTCATCTCCATATATAGGTGCCATGTAGCAAAAATCTAGTTTCAACAAACTCATTATTGGCTGTAATCTCAGGATTAGAAAATATTTTGCATTGATTCTGCGCGCATTATTTGATGAATGGTAGAGAAATGAAAAAAAAATTGAACTGCTGGTGCAGCATTCCAACTTCATGAAAGGAACAAACCTTTCTGTTCGTAGAGAAAATGTAGGCTTCAAAGAATACGTAACATGACATATTTCTCGTATCTTTTTAAAGCTCCATTTCAGAATTTATGCCCACCTGTCGAATAAATGGCTTGTTTCAGAAACCGTTGCTCTATTTGAAAGAACAAGTAGCAAGTACAGTATTAATGAACAAGTTTAATCAGGGAAGGCAATATTTCTTCCACCTTTATTCTTCAAGACAAAGGGCACATTAGTAGAAAGGGATATTCAATGAAAGAGGACTACAATTCAGTACAGTATATCCAAAAATGCTCCTCTAGATTTCATCAGAGGGGGTACAAAATCATGAAAGGACTTGAATTTTCTTTGGTGGATGGACTTCGATCACAGCATTGATTACTCATTTCCTTCAAAATTTCAGTCTAAAATGTGTTAAGAAGCATGCATCTCAGTTTGATGAATTTTTCATCATAGCACATTTTAAATTACAGGTAGAATTTCTCTTTACAAGTAAATGCAACAGTCTAGAAATAAAAATCAATGTGGAGATAATTTTGTTGTAGTGTGCCCCTACAAGATAATTAGAGAATCCCTTGCTGGGACCAAAAACAATTCATTGCACTCAAGTTCATTGTTTATAGAGAGATTCCACCTGTATTGCTGTTGTGTAATTAATTGTGATCAGGTCCCAGAGAGTGCATAACGAGATTTTATCTGTACCGAGTAATTTTCATTGAAATAAATCAAGCGATGTTGGACCCCAAGTCCTGCTATGCTTGCAAGATGAGAAACCGACGACCAATCCATCATCAGTCCGAGTCGGACGAATTAGTAATTTCTTGGACCAGTTTCGCGCCAAGACTTCTGAGCAAGATGAAGTGCAAGGAGCATGATGATGGGTTCTTCCTATGAAGTCACAGAAGAGTCTTGAGAGTGCGACCCCATCATCCGTGTAATAATGCCGGCATCTGCTCGGAATGGAGCAGTCTATGAGTCGATGTGCAGTGCAGTACGTGCATCAACGGACAATTTGTAATGCTTCGTCGAGTGGCGATGACTGCGTGAAGCAGCAAGCGTTGAAAAATAGAATTGAAGGAAACGAGAGAGGAAATGTCCGGGCGAGCGTGAATTTTACGAAGGATCATGCCGCCGATCCCCGCTTGAACGACTCTTCGCCGAGAATTTCGTTTGCTATATCATTCTATGCTGCGAGTGCGAGCATGAGGCTGTTTTTTTGTTTTGTTATAAATGTTTCAGGCGTTCGAATAGGTGACGTGAGTTATCTAAATGTGTGCTTCTTTCATCCGTTGATGAAGCCAAAGCAAATGGCACCATCCAAGACGAGCGTTCGGGCTCTACAATATTCGAAGGAACGCATCATTTCCGTCTTATCTATACACTGTACAGTGTAATAACTCTTGAGGTGGCCCTTTGGCGAGAAGAGCCCGAAAGAGTCGGTTGGTTGTAAATCTCAGCCTAGGCTTTCCTTCCGCATTGTTGGTGTTGTTCTCGTCATGCAGGATGAGATCTCTCACCATCGTTGTTGGGATACTGTATACGATTTGTTGCGCCTCTTCGAGACACGACCCATCACCTGTACTCCACTGTTGTACCGCGAACAAGGTAATGATTTCGTTTGCAGCTCTTGATATACAGTACAGTAGTGTATATACACTACATCGTGGTCCTGTTCTTGATGCTGAGAAGAACACCTACACCATTACAACATAAGTAATTCCGGTGAAATCATGCAGAACAGCTTTTCTTCCGGAAAAAATGAGCGAGTATTCCAATGAACTGCATCTTTTATGAACAAGTACAGAACAGAAATTGCCACTATATACTGGAGTACCAGGCGCACCTTTTTTTTGCAAAATTGCGACAGAAAAATAGGGTGCGCGGGGTACATTTTAAACGGGTAAAACCCCCAAAATCCCATTAGGCATGCGAGCACATCTAACAAAAAATAAATTGGAAATGTGTGGCGTCTAGTCTCCTTGTAATCCATGGGGAATCACCTATAAGCAATAGCAATTTGAGGAATCAGTTAAAGGTGCAACAGGAAGTAAAGGAAGTAGAAGTTATTCTTGCAATCGAGGAAGCTGCAAACAGTGAAAAACAGGAAAACCAAAATATTAATGAGGGAAAATAGATCCACACAAAAATTCGCAATTCTTCATTATAGGCAACAGCAAAAAAAAAAAAAAAAAAAAAATCGGGTGCACCTCTTACAAGAGGAAAGTACAGAAAAATTCGAAATTCTTAATTATAGGAAAAAAAAAAAAAAAAAAAAAAAAAAATCGGGTGCACCTCTTACAAGAGGAAAGGTTTTTGGACAAATTTCTCGCAGAAAAACCGGGGTGCGCAGCTTACTGAGGGGGGGCGTTGGTACTGGAGTAAATAGGGTACCGTAAGTGCAAAGATCTTTTGTCTCTGGTTTTTCTCCTCATCATCATCATCACCACTACCACCGGATGCCGGTCACCGCTTTGCAGGAGGGGAGCACATAAACCGAGTAATTGAGGCCAGTATATTGACGCCGTGCGGGGTCCGTCCGAAGCAACGGTTGTCTCGTACTTTACTGTACTGTACTCCATATATTGTATTGGAATGAATCACACTCTCGCTCTTTCCTCCAGCGCAGTTCAGGTGAGGGAATATAGAGGAGCGAGAGAAAGGAAAAGCAAGGAAGGAAAGGGGTTCGTCCAGTCCAGTCCCAGCAGTGTCGTCGTCGGGATGAGGGAGGGGAGGGAGAAAAGGAAAAGGCCTCGGACTTGTTACAGTATGGCTGTGATGGTGCTGGGCTGGCAATGACCTTCATGGAGGTTCCTGGCCCTGGCCCGGCTGAAATAAATACTACCCGTTCGCTGTTGGGCAGGCCATACTCTACTGTACTGTACTGTACTGTACTCTACACACACACACACACACACACACATGTTCTCCTCTCTGACATGCTTAATACTGGGCCTCGGCGATTTACGAGTTACGTTATTTACAGCACTCACACCGCGTATGTAACTCCTTGCCTCATTGGCATTCCCATTACATTTTCCTACACCCTGTTGCATCTGAGTACAATAATACAGTATAGAAAAATGATTTCCAAGAAGGTGACTCACATCCGTGCGTCATTCAGTCCAATGAAGAAAAATAGTGTATTTTCCAATACAGTTCAACCTTGACAGTACAGTAACTCCAACTTCCTCAAGTTGAATGCCTCCGTCTATGTCAATTTTTTTGTTTCAAGTTCCTGTCGGAATTTACAGTCTTGAAAACATTACATTAAAGGCCTCCTTAACTGAAGGGCTTTCCCCATCGAACCACTATGAATTGAATTTTCTGCAATAGTTTTGGTCATTATTTTTTTGACACAGAAAAAAGAAAAGCGGTGAAAGTGTAATATTTTGCATTTTTTGAAAGGAAATGAAAGACTCATTGGAGAAATAAAGCCTTATCTTCAAGTTCATCATCCTGCCAAATAAGCACTTTGAGAATCAATTTGAATGCCCAGAATTACTGTATCCCAAATCATAATTCCGTGATTTTTCTAGAAGAGAAATGCTCGTTTCCCCAACTGGATACCTCCGTATAAGTCAATTTAAACATTGTTTTCCTGGTCCTTTGAAGCTCAACTTGGAGAGGTTTGATTGTATTGTACTGTACTGTACTGTACTGTGTCAGCAATAAATAGCAACCAAAAAAAAAAGGGCTCGTTTGTTGGCTCGCAATTGTCGGCACAGTAAAGCATACCAGAAGTCCAGATTATGCAATGCTCTGCAAAACAATAGGACGACTCTTATTCCGAGGAACACAACTCTCATTCAGTGAAATAATGAACCAAACACGCACGCGTCTTTTTTCCGCTTCTCCTCTTCTTCACACTATGATGACTCTCGAAGACGGGTTCCAACGGAAAAAACGAAAGCACTTGACTCGAATCCTGCTGAGGGGCGTCATTAAAGAATTCTCCTCTGAAAATAAAAAGGGGGTGACGATTTTCTTAGAGGTCCTTGATGAGACTTGTTGTACTGTACAGTACAGTAAATACAAGTGCACAGCACACTGCATTCCGTTGTTGGCTTCGGGAATTCAACTGAATGTACAGTCTTTGTTTGCTTGGTTCAAGCTTCCTTAGTTTTTCCAAGTACTGTACAGTAGAGTGCTTAAATCGTTCCAATTTTAAGGTTTACCCCCGCCCGTATGCAGTACAGTATATCGTACTGCTCTGAAGTAAATCTTTCTGTGGAGAAAATGTAGTGTTGAAAAAATTATGCATCACATGAGATTTTTCTTGAAATTTCTTTAGCTCAATTTTGGAAGTTATGCCTCTCTTTGAAGTAAGCAGTATGTTGGAAATAATTTTTCTCGATTTGAATTTAAAAAATGAGTATAAATGAAATAGTTGATTCAAAAGGAAGTACTGTACAAGATTTCTCCCACATTTTGTTTTGTTTCATTTTGTTTTGTAAGACAAACAGCTCTTCAGTAGAGCAGGTTCAATAAAGGGATAGTGCTATGCAGTCAAAAAGTTTCCTCTTCATTTCATCAGAGTCTCAGAAATTATAATGGATCTTGAATCATCGATTTTAGACGCACTTTACAGTAATTATTACCCATTTTTTATGAAAATGTGTTGAAGAGCATGTATTTTGATACAGCAATTTTTTTGTCACAAAAAGGTTCCATTAGGTCCCTGCTGGGTGTTTGTCCCAACAAGATTTTACTCAAAAAGTAACAATCAAATAGCTGCCCTCTACAACCAATTCATTGAACTTCCCCCCCCCCTTTCATTCTCTTTTTGTTTACTAGAACACAAAGAATCTCTTCATCACTCTTTATTTTAAACCATACTTCCATGCACAGTACAGTACAGTATTTAGTTATGCAGGTAGACTCTATCTACAACCAACTTCAGGGACCAGGGGGGAAATAGCTTTAGGGGGGGGGGGGGGGGGTTTCGTTTTGCATAGAACCCTTATGACATGGAAAGAGAACCCTTTGGGTCCAAAGAAATTTTTATTTTATAAGAAAAGTTTCATATTGCAGAGAGAGAGAGATTCCAGCACCAGCACTGTAGTAGGTGAAGAGAGATGGAGGGTCGGTCATGGATATATTGTTGTGCAGTCACGACACAGCCAAACGCTGCGCGGAGGATGAGTGACTAAGCTATAGCTGCATCCACATCACAGTGTAATGTATTGTGCTGAACCCTTGAGGGGGGCATGATGAGGGGGGAAGAATAGAAAAGAAAGGGGGAAACGGATTTCCGCGACGCGGGAATTACTGGTGGTCGACAGCCGAAGGTCATACTCCGGCCTGGTGGAAAAAGAAAAGGCGGTACAGTACAGAACAATACAGTATACTTCAGTTGGAATACAGTACAGTATGGCTGTACCCTCCTCACAGGGCAGTGCTGTACGGGCGTGTGGGATGCAACCTGATCATCATTATGGGGAATGGGGAACACACACACACGAGTTACGTGCAGCAGACGAGTGTGCATGCATTGCCCCTTCGCAAGTATGCAGTATATACCGTATACACGTACAGTATCTGCTACGGCAGCGTGTCCGAGCAAGTTCCGTCAGCCCGCCTGGCAACAGCTGTTGGCATCCGAGATCGTTGGCCGGGTTCTTCGCGTCCATATTTCTCACTTGTCATCCTGTATAGTGTATGGTATATTCCCTCCTCCCTGTATCTTACCTATATACTGTATACCTGTTCCTCCATGTGGCCAAATGCTGTAAAATCTAAGAAGTGTGCAGCACAGTTGAACCTCGATGACCCGTACCTCTCTCCAAGTTGAAATTCTTTCAAGTCCCTATCTGAATTCTCTTGGGAAACAATGCCTTCTAAACCTCTCTAATTTGAAGGCTCTTCCTTTTCAAACCTGCAGAACTCAAATTTTGTGAGTCCTTCTGGCTATTATTTTCTTGATGCAGGAAAGAGAAAATAGCATTAAAGAAAAGTTAGTTGCTGTGTTTTGGAAGGAAGTGAAAAGGGCCTATGAAGTAAATGAACCCTTGCCTCCACAAAGTCTTGCATCCTGTTAGCTCATTTAAGAAGCAATTTAAGGCTCAGAATATCAATAATTACAATTTCCTGCAATTATTGTCTTTTTCCCACAGCAAAAATGCTGGTTTCCTAACTCCAAACCCTTTGAATGAAAACAATTTTTTTTGTCGGTTGAAATTTGATTCAGAGAGGTTTTACTGTTTATAACAAACTGTTTCTCAAATCCCAACTGCAAACTCATAGATTACGTGGTATGATGTTGAGACAATCTCATTGTTCTAAACTTCCTAACTCTGCACTATGCAAGAAACTTCATGATGAATTTTCATTAGATCCTCCAAGTTGAAATTTCCTGACTAAGGCAGACTTTTTTTGTAGCCTGGATGGAAGGTGATATCAATGCCAAACATGCCTCCAATAAGGGATAGTTTTCACATATCCTCTCAGATTGAAGAGATTTTCATGTCATCCTATCAAAATGAAGAAATTTGTGCAACTGATGGACTGCATGTTTGAAGCAAACTATTTCTCCTTTACATCCCACAGTTTTTCAAATACTGTACTGTAATAATAATAAAAAAGCAGAGAATGCTGGAAATTGGTTACAGGCAGGTAATCCGATGTTGAACTACTGTAGTTTTAATAATTACTTTTTTAAAATTTAAATGTAGCTACAGTATAACAAATTGAAGGTGCTGAACTCTCTCCACGACAAAATTTCCATAAAAAGTTTTCAGGGGGTTAGTTGAAGCAGATTCTTGCAAGGTGTGTTGCATCTACAGTAGGATGCCCTTCATCTCATCCTTCCAAGATGTGTCTTCTTGGACTGGTCTATACCCTTTGTAGTATATAATGTACGAGCATTTTCCGATGGGATCGCGAGTCAATGATGTGAGCTCGGGGTACATTGGTTGGTTGGCCGACCATTTGTCTGCAGTCTATACAAGGGATGGATGCTTTCATTCAAGACGTGACAGATAGACAGGGTTCGTTCAACTGCAGCAGAAAGCAGCAAGGTGCACACAGTGGGGGGTTTCTGAGGAATTCCTCGTAAATCCAGGGAGAGGATCGAGTAAAAGACGCAAAAGATGATTATGGTGATGGTGATGATGAAGTGCTGGTGCTGTGTTCAATAACGATCAACAGCAACAGGCGGAGGTTTATATAAACAGTATATACAGTATATTCTCTGTCTCTCTCTCTTTCTCACTTTCCCTGTGCTATATACCTGATGCATGAATGTGCAGTATGTATGAGTCTCGTGCATGGATGTGCTGCTACTTCAGCACCATCATGCTGAAGTACAAATGAGTCATTGACTCAGACATTTGTGGTGCTGATGGTTAGGATTTTTTTTTAATGGAAGATTTTCAATAATGCACAAGTTGGGTGTTTCCATACTGTGACAAATGTAAAAATTGCTATGGTCCATGGTCATATCATCAAGGCGAAAATTCACTGTTCTGTGCGTTACGGTATTATTATGATTATAGAGGGAAATTAGTTTTTCGTAACGACATTTTTGTAAAATTGTCCCTGATGTGGATGAATATACTCCTAGGACCGAAAACTGTTTTTTTTTCTTTTTTACGAAAAATGCGTTGCAATGAGAGTCGTTGCATCGGAATTTAACTGCTGTACTGTAGTCTAAAGTAATAAATGACTCATAGTTCAGACGATACCGAGAAATGAGATTTATGTATCAACGCTGATTATCTTCGATGGACGGTCCGTCATCGGGCAGTCGCCTTCAAGTACTTGATTGTACTGTAATTCCAGTTTTCTGTACTTTTATTGGTGACGTTATCTCGCTGACTCACCAGCCATAAATAAATGATGGAATATTTTCCTGGGAACAGAGATGTCAATGACTCTCATCCATCGTCTCGAAATCCACAAAACAGCAGGTTCTGAATACAGTACAATACAATATCCCTTTATTTGAGAAGTACTGTATGAACCCATGTACAGTACACTATATTACCCGGTGTGTGCTGGTTCTGTGATTGCAGAATATAACAGGGTTACGTTACTCCATCTCACGTGTGTCTGTATTTCCCTTTGCAGGTTTTGACGATGAGGAACTTTGCAGAAAGCAGAGGTCGGATCCTGTGCAAGATGAATTGGATTCAGACCGTGGTTCTGGCAATCATGACTGGACTCGTCTGGTTCCAGGTAAGCATCCGCTTGAAGAAGAAGAAAAACAAGCACCATAACCCTGCCAAACCCGTGATACAGTCGAACCTCGAAGGAACCCAGCAGAAAAAATTCAAATTAGAAAGGCTTGGAGTTTGTGCAAAACAATACAGAAAGTATATAGAGTGTAGTAATTGCGGGAAATTTTACTGTAATGTTGGTGATATTCTGTGGCCTTAAACTGCTTCTTGAATGAGTTGAGAGGCTGCTGATGGCGGACCCGGAGAAGATGAGGGTTCATTTGCACAATTCGTCTTTCACTTCCTTTCAAAACGCATCAAAAGACATTTTCATTGCTTTGCTCTTTCCTGCGACAATAAAATACGGGAATAGCCGAAATAACTCCGGACAATTCAAGTTCTAGAGGTTTTACGACGAAAGCCTTTGAGTTTTAATGCATTCATTCTATAGAGATATTCAGACAGGGACTAGAAGTAAATTCGTCGTACGGAGGATTTTTGAGGTTCAACTGCATCATCATCGGGAATATTTGCTCGTTTGGCAAAGATTTGATGTGTAACAGTGATTGAGTATTGATTAATGATTTTTTTTTGTTGCTCCATGTCTATGACAGATCCCTCGGACAGAAGAGCACTTGAAAGATATTCAAGGATGGATGTTCTTCTCGACCAACTACTGGATGCTCTTTGCTCTGTTCCAAGCTCTGGGATCATGTGAGTAGAACAACATAGTATTGGAGTTCAGTTCAAGGTGCAGCAGAACTCGAGTCAGGTTGCAAATGATGAGCCGCACATATACTGTACTGTACTGTACTGTGCTAAACATACTTTTGTTTCTGTGTGCATTTAGTCAAGGTTTCAGTTCTACAATTAACTGAGTTCTTTGTCAGTGGCATTCCTCTTTCAGTACGTCACAATTTGACCTCCCACAATTCAGCCATCCTGCAATTTGACAGTCAAATTTGCTCAGAGGTTGACTCGCAATTTGACCTCTTTCCTGAAATTTGACACATTTCAGCCTCTTTTCTAGCGTTTATGTGCTGTTTGCCCTTGATTTTACAGAGTGTCTTGAAATTTGACTGCTTTGCAATTCAACCCTAGTTTGGCAATGGATTTGGGTCAAATTTGCAAGGTACCATACCTGTACTGTAACTACCTAATTGCGTGTCATGCATTGTATGTACTGTACATGCAACAGTGTATTTGACTTGAGGCTGGATTCACAATGATGGCTGCTATCATGAAATACAGTGAGACCCCCACATGAGGACACCTGGACATGGGGAAAATTCAACATAGGGACATTTATTTTTCAGTAAAAAAAGAAGTCATTAAAAAGGTCCCTAATATGGACACTAACTCAACATGAGGACATTGCATTAAAAAATTGCCAATAAATTTTAGGAAAAATGACTTCTATTAGGCTCAATTGCAAGAAACAGACATTTCCAACCCTAAGATCTATATGCATGAAAAATTCCATGGTACTTTTCCCATCACTTTCCAATGCATTCAGCTAATTAAAAAAATACCTATAGCACAGATGAGGGACTTCCTTCTCTCTTTGTGACTTGGATGTTACTTTTACAGATGCCAACATATCAATGAACTGTATAGCGGTATACTATACAATACTCCAAATGTTCTTATTGGTTTGAAAATATGTTCACTGAATTAAATTCAAGTGGCAAACCAAGTTTTTTTTTCATGGAACTCTGAAGAATATTCGCTCCATAAAACACCAATTAAAAATTATACAATGTAAGTCTACATGGGAAAAGAAGACTTGACTTATAGGTACACTCTGGATGCACCAATATACAATATTATGTCCGCATCATCGGGGGGTCTCACTGTATACTGTACCTCACAACTGCAATCATTTGTTGTATGTTTCTGCCGCAGGACTCAAATTAATGTAGTATACAAAATGATGCGTATCAACTTTCCCAGCACATATGCTGAGCAGTGTAACTATATAGAATCATGAGTTTCGCATGTACCTGTACTGTACGGCACTGTATAATGTAATGTTTGTTTGCAGTTCCCGAAGAACACGAGGTGATCAACAAGGAGCGGGCCAGTGGGGCCTACCGCCTGTCGGCCTACTACCTGGCCAAGACCGTGGGCGAGCTGCCGCTGACCATCACGCTGCCCACCATCTACCACGTCATCAGCTACCCCATGTTGGGCGTGCATTCCGGCTCCACGTTCCTCGTCCTGCTCATGTTCCTGCTGCTCAACACCGTCGTGGCACAGGTGAGCTATTGCATTTCTAGAAGTCACATTTCTAGGACGACCCAGGAAAAAAATATTCCACGCTTGGGGAGGTAGTGCACAGTACAGCATGCTGAACTTGAAGGGAGGGGCGAAATTTGCCCATCAATTAGACACATCAAGTTACTTTTTTCTCCTTCCCATGTCAGAAAAGTAATATTTAGGAGGCCTTGGAAAATTTGAGTTTCTAGTAAATTGTTTTGAAGGGAAGCCAGAGGGGGACTTTAAAAAAAAAGTTGACTGGGAGAAGTACTGTATTTAGCTCAAGGAGGTTCAAATTATTGAGGTTCTATTAAGCTCCCCCCCCCCAAATACTGGACAGTTATTGGACTTATTGCAGCATGCTGCAGTAACTCATTCCAATCATTAATTTGATGGGACAGATTTTTAAATTGTTCGCAAACTTTTGTATGGAACCATATTTGAGTTCATTAATAAAGAGCCCAGCACTGTATACTCACATATGTTGCATATACATGTACTGTATATTGATTCGGACTCGTATTATTATTTCTTTATGAATCAAAAGAGCGTCGGGTTGTTTGTCGGCGCCGTGTGCATGGACCTGCAGCTGGCCATCACGACCAGCGCCCTCTACACGCTCTTCACCCAACTGCTGGCCGGCTACCTCGTCGTGGACATTCCGCACTGGCTCACCTGGCTGCGACACCTGTCCATGATCCGGTTCGCCTACCAGAACATGCAGATCGTCGAGTTCTCCAGCGGTGTTCCATTTCTGTGAGTACTACAGAGTACAGTATTATCCTACTGCACCGTGAATATTTGTATTCACTCATGTACTGTAGATTCCATGTCTGCTCGTCATGTGCTGTGTTTACACTGGACAGTATATGTATAACAAATACTTTACATTGTATTCAGTAATGTACAGCAGTACACTTTGGCAGTATACTCTTGTATACGTGATGAAGTACGCAGTCAATGGAAAATGAGAGAAGAACAAAGTGGGCCTGTTTTATGGGCTATCAACATTTTCAGAATCCATGACTGTTGTCTTTATCCTGTTGAATAAATGAATGAATGAACAGAACACTTTATTTGCTACTTTTCAGCGTTCACGAGGTTCAATCAAGATTTCCACATCCAAACCCCCTTTCCCACCCCAACCCAAATCCAGTCAAAGACATTTAATCACTTCAGAGCAGGAAACAGAGCACAAATTGATAACAGAAATAAGATTATTCAAAAGAAATGAGTAAAGACTAGAATGACAACAACAACAACAACAAGCGAAAGAAAAAGAAGAGAGGGATGATGTTGTCCTGCTGGTTGCTTTTATTGCTCCTGATGGTACATATATGTTCACCACGATGATCGTGTTTTCACAATGTCGACATCAGGTGTGCGGAGGAGAACTCGACCTTCGACACGTGCCACAGCAGCAAGGGCGGCGACGGCGGCGGCGGTCACCGGTTCATCCCCAACGAGGCGATCCTCGCGAGTCGCGGCGACACTCTGCCGCTCTGGGCCAACACGGCCGTGCTCATCGGATTCTTCCTTGTGTTCCGGATCCTGTGTTACTGCGTGCTTCGCTACTTGCGCAAACCCAACAAGTGACGACGACGACGACGACGACGACCATGAGGACGATTTTCCGTCTCTCTCTCTCTATCTCCACACGGACGCCTTATATATATTTCTCGCTCCTCATGACGATGCTGCTGCTGCTGCTGCATCATGGCGGCTATGTGCTGATGTACATCATGTCTCTGTCTTCTATATATTCTCCTCCGCCATGATCAGCGTGTGATTTTTTTCTCATCCAGAACTCAATTCCTTTCATATGCAGTACTGTACTGTACGTGACGCTGTATTTTTGTAATTTCCTCATTGCTCATCCGTCTTTCTCTTTTACCCCCTCCCCGATTTCGGCATTGTTGTTATTGTTGTTTTTTTTTTATTATTGGTTCCCCTCGTCTCGGTCCGAAAAGTGTCAAAAAACGGAACTGGGATTTTCTTGTAAATCTGGTGATGATGATGACCGACAAAAAAAAACCCCATTCGTCATTCGTGCCTATATTTCTCGATCGCGGTGTGTGCTCGTGTACATTATTTGTCCGTAGATGAGATGATCGGTGTACAACTTCAAGACTGGCCTTGTTTCAGTATTCTGAATCCTCTATATACTGTACTGTATGCACAAGGGGGAAAAAAAGAAGTGAGAGCTGGGCAAAGAGAAACAAACAAAAAAGGAGGCAAGAAGAATTTAAAAGAGCTCGTGCTGTGAGATGATGTCTGCTGAACAGCGATTCTCTCTCGCACGGAAGAATGAAGAGAAGAACAAAGCAAAACAACGCTATTGGAAATGCAGAAATCTAGAGAGTGAGAGAGGGATATTGGCACAGTTCCTCTGCGTGAACCAACCCCGCGCGCGATAATGACACGATGCCAATATATAAGTAAATAAAAGGAAAAAAACGATCGGAGATTTCAACACGTTTGAGTTACCGAAAAGCTACCGGTTATCTCAGGTTGGAAAGACGGAAAGTTGACGGAGTATATTGCAAAAGGAATATACCTGTTTCTATATATTGTTGATTTGAACTCGCTGCTGTTGAGCTTTCTTTTTTTTTTTTTGTCCCCTCCGCGTCGATGACGCGAGCAACGAAACGAAACGTCGAAGAAATTACCGAAATGAGGCGGCACTCGTCATCAGCAAGTGTTACTACTAATGCTGCTGCTCTTGCTGACGGAATTCTGCTGTAAAAAAGAAAGAAAAAAGGAACGTGATTTTCACTGATGATGTCATGATGTTGATGATGATGATGATGATGGCTGCCTCGGTCGACGATGAGGGAGACACGAGAGAGGATTGTGATGCATTTGTACAGATGACGAGAGGGATGATGTTGCCTTCGTCGACTTTATTTCGTAGCTATACATTCGCCGATTCCTTTTTTTTTTATTCATTCGGAAGTTGGTTCTTTGGCTTGCTCGACATTTTTGCGGGCGTCAAGGGATGATGATGACACACTGCCATGAGAGAAAACTGATGCTGAGAGGCGAATCGAATAAAAACTACATTTTTCTCTTTGGATATATATAACATGCGTGTGTCTCACATTTTATTCATTTATTTTTTCAATCATCCACATTTTGTGCATTTATCCGCTTTTGGAAGCTGAGCTCATTAAAGTGCAGTCAACCCTCGACAAATTGGTTCCCGCAAATTTCCCTGGTACAAATATCTGTCCATTGTGTTTTAAAGGAAACTGATTTAGTAAGTACCAACTCATCTGTATGCCACCAAAAATTCCTGCCATGATTGAAAAATGGGCAAACATCAAAGAAATTAAGGCACACTTCTGGGGATATCTTTAATTTGTCACCCAGAATTACATGCTCAAGATGAATTTGAAATTTTGATTTCTGCATTTACATGTGTGATTAGGTGGTTGTATTGGCATGCCCTCCGAAGCAAAAAAAAATCTCATTAACTGAATAGTCCCTTTATTGAAGACAAAAAAATAAAAAATCACTCCACCTGATCTTCAAATTGTGTGCTTCCACTGAAAGGTTAATTTTCTGCAGAAAACAGTTCAACCTTTTTACGTGATCCATCAAAATTTAATAATTTCTGTACTCTTGCATAAATTGAAATGCAGTAAAAGCAGTTCATTTCAGTCTCAAAATATTTTTGCTCTCTCTCTTTTCAACAGCTGGCATGAGAAATTTTAGTCCCCATCAGGCACATGGGTGAAGAACTCTGGCTGGTAATGCAACTTTCAATTCAGAAATGTTTTATCGTATATACTGTATTGTAAAAGTTTGAACTAATTCGTTTTTCCTGAATGCAATCAACTGTAAAATACAGTATTTGACCATCAGCATATTCGTCGCATACTCTTATTTAGTCTTGGAAACACCCCCAATACACGACTTATTTTGCTGATGAAAGCGACCTAAAAACTCGGATAAAGGCGGTAAATTAAGAAACCTAAGGACTCGGATCTGCACTTGAAGGTGAACATGAAGAGCTGGCATTCAATTTCGCGTGGGCAGCTGCTGTATAAAGCTAACTTATCGCTTTAATTGTTTTCCACTGTTTCCCGGCCCTTCTCACGAAATATTGCAAAAGAGAAGTTGGCAAAGGCTTGTGTATGATCCAAGTACAGTATAAGATACTGTGTTTCACTTATCCTAGCTGAAACAAGATGATTGAAAGAACATATTTTTCAATTGTTCGCCCATTGAATCTGATCACAGAATTAGCTTGCAAAAAGTTGATGGTGCAAACCGTACAGTGTACAGTATTATTTCTGCATAAATGTCGCGCACAATTTCGAAGCACAGTACTGTACTGTACTTATTTTTCTCCGAAGGACGTTGATTCAATGGGCTAGTGAAACAAACAACAAAAAATGAAACATTGTTAGCGTAAAAAGCTTGGCGGTGGAGAAATGCCAGAGATGCAACATTTTTACAAAAAGAGAAATATACATTATCAATATTAGCAGGTGAAATTATTCCTTGTTAATTTCTTAAAATTTTCAGATGGCTCCTAAAGGCGATCATCAAAGGTTAAACTTTAAATGCCTTTCCAAGGTATGCTGCCACAATTTCAACTTTGTCCATCATAAATGTTCTTCTGTCGGACTTCACCATCAATAATAAGTCAGCATGAAGCAGTACATCATCATGCATAATTCACATCATGAAACATTTTCGATTTCCCTTCAGCACATTCCATCCTCTTTGGCATCAAGGCCCCCGACAGTATACATATGCCGACACCCGTTTTCTTCAGCGAACAAGAAAAGAAAGAACCAAAATAAATGTTGAAAAAAGAAAGTGAGGCCGGGAAAGAAGGACGTGGCCATCATCATGCACCAGCCTGTGGACGGACAAGGACGACGGCAAATACTTACTTTGCCCCGTTTGTCGACGCCGGTTGACGTACCCGCGCCATTCCCTCACTCGACGTCAGTACCGGGACAAGTACCGTTCAAATCCATTACACAGTACAATGCCATCAGGCGAAGGGGACGTGAGACAACTTGTCAGAGCTTCGAATATTATTCACGCCACGGCCTCATTTCGCATTCTAGTGCGCAGCTCATTCTGCTTCGGCAGAATGCCATTATTCAAATTATTCAGCAGCAGAGAGGACGCCAAGAATGACCAAGTTCTCAAAACAGTGTAAAGCAGTGACCTATTGTTAACAATCACGCTTCATCTATTGACAGTATTCAACCGTGAAATTCTGTTATACCAACAAATCTCATACAATGAAACCCCCAGACACTGACATAATTGGTGCATCAAGAGTGTCCCTAAGTCAAGTCTTGTTTTCCCATAAGCTTACATTATTTAATTTTCAATTGGTGTTTCATGGATGAAATATTCTTCCAAATTTCATGATAAAAAAAACTCCACTCAAATTTGATTCAGTGAATATCTTTTCAACACAATAAGAACATAGTATACCTCTATACAGAAAAATTGAAATGTTGGCAACTGTCAAAATAACATTCAAGTCACAAAGAGCAAAGGAAGTACCTCTATGCTTATAGGTAATTTTTAGCTGAATGGATGGGAAAATGATGGAATAAATACCAAAGAATTTGTTTTGCTCTTAGGGTTTGATCTTAGGTTTCTTGCAATTAAGCCTGATAAAAGTCAATATTCCTGAAATGTATTGGCAAATATATAATGCAATCTCTGCATTTTGAGTCAGTGTCTGCACGTTGGGCCTTTTTTGTCTTTTTTATTGAAAAACAAATGTCCCTATGTTATTTTGTCCACATGTGAAGGTTCTCATTGTTTTTTTTTTGCTTGTTTTTTTTTTGGTCAGGCAGTTTCTTCACAGAGAAGCAGTATGCATTGGTGGAAATTTCATACCTTTACAAAATCAACTTAATGCATGAACAAAAAGCATGCATTTCCTGAATATTTCAGCTTATACCTCAGTAAGATCAGTCCATTTTTAGAAAAATTCAAGATTTGGAAGGTCTAATATAAAAATTTGTCATTGCACATTTTTAGTTTCCTCATTATTTTACCAAAGCAAATGGAAAATGTGGGATATTCTTCTCAAATCGGTTCTGGCTATATTTTAAAGTACTGTACTTAAATTACCTGTGCACCACAAAAATTTCAGTCCAACATTCTAAAAGAAACTCAAAAATCATTATGGTGGATTTGATGTAAAGTCAATTTTAAATCTCATTATGATGAATCAGATGTAAAAACAATTTTGATTCTCATTATGATAAGTTTGATGTTATAACAATTTTTCTCTAAGGTCCCAGGGAGTTTGTTGTAACCTGCATGGAGATCCTCTTGTATTTCATTCAGATAATTCTTCATTTCGCATTAGCAGGAATTACATAAAAGCTCACAGGAGGAAAATGTTGGGGAACACGTTCAACGGAATCGATATCAAATCTGTAGTCATATTAACGACCACAACACCCTTCACTTTACGCACGACCCTTTTAAGCTAATGTATTTCCGCTACGCTTGGCTGCGCCTGGTGCGCTGGTAATTATATTTCACAATCCCGTTGTTGACGGAATACTTTCCCGACCGCGCTCACGCTTCCTTCCTTTGAAACAAACGAAGCATGATGTCCCCGATCCAAATCGGTTTCTATGCGCGTTCCTCGACCTCGGCCGGCCGAAGCTATATATACAGGTGCATTTTATGTTGCATTAAGTTTACCGCACCAGACACTGTCCGAACGCCAAATCTACATCGCTTTGCTCTCGGTAGAAAATATTGTATCAACTGTGTGAAGATAAATAAATAAACATTTGAAATACTCTCACGGAGTAACTTTTGCGTTTCCTTCGAAAGTCGGAGGAAAACGAATTAAATCTCCGATCCCCTTTTTCATTAATTATTAGAAAGTAGTTCTCAACGACTGATCATCGTTGATCACCAACTTTCGTAAAATAGTTTTTGGATAACAAATTTGGCGCAGCCATAGTTTTCTTTTTCGGAGGGGTGGATCCCTAGAGTTGCTGCATTTAAAGTGCACCAAGTGTAGTGGTTCTTGCAGGTGACGCGATTGCTGGTGAAAAAAGTTGAAAGTCAGACGAGAAAAAAGAGACTGAGGTAAAAAAGTGTTTCTAGAGAGATTTGATCGTTGAGTTACGAATCAATAATTTTAAGTTTCTCACCAACGAATTGTGTACAAAATTTGTTAACGAAATCTTTTACCCAGTCCAAGGAAGAGTAAACTTAAAAAATACCAGTC